AAAACGACTTTTGTTTTTTGTTGAATTGAAGGATTTTTTCACACTGCTTTTCTGCCCTTTTTTGGTGAATGAGAAGTGGTGACAACGACCCCCCTTACTCATTCACAAGCGGGGGGAGGCGGCATCTGGGTAGCCCCTTTTATGAACGGAGGTGCCCAGATGCAGATGAGCCCCGCTGCCCGCAGAACCCTACAACCACCAGGGAGAGATTTGGGGGAAGAGGCCCCGTGTCCCCATCGGCATTGGGTCCTCCCCCTGGCAAAGCATGCTCCCAGTGTCGGGGGCATGTGGTCTGGTATGGTGCAGGGAGGGGCTCGCTAGTGCCCCCCCCTCCCCCTTCCTGCCAGACCACTGCTCAGAATAAGAGACCGGTGTGGGATTTTAGGGGGATTTAACTTTTTGGGGTTCCCCTTAAAATTCCTACCAGACCTAAAGGGTCAGCTCTGACTTTGTAGGGGAAGCCCAACGCATTTCTTGGTACATTGTGGTCCTTCCAGATCTCGGGGTCCGGTATGATTAGGTTGGCGGCACCACACACATGGCGGCACCACACACATGGCGGCACCACACACATGGCGGCACCACACACATGGCGGCACCACGGCGCCGGCTCCACCCACCTGATTGAACTTCTTGTCGCAGTGCGGGCACTTGTGCTCCTTGTTGGTGTCGTGCGTCTCCAGGTGACGCATTTTGGAGGTGGGGTCGGAGAACGGCCGGTTACAATACTCGCACTGGTACGGCTTTTCGCCGCTGTGGACCAGCTGGTGCCTCTTGAGGTTGCCGGACGTGGTGAAGAGTTTGCCGCACACCTTGCAGTAGTAGGCGGGCTCCCCCGAGTGCCGCTTCTTGTGCAGGTTCAGCAGACTCACCAGACGGTAACTCTTGCCGCAGTCGTCGCAGCCGTGAGGCTTCAGGGGGCTGGAGAGCAGAGAGCGGTTATTACCTCCCATCACCCCTCCCCCCTCCCCGGGGACAACATGGCCGACACTCACCTGTGCGTCTTCTCGTGGGCCTTGCAGGCGGCGGGGTCGGAGAACGCTTTGTCGCACTCCTGGCAGCGGTACGGCTTCTCGCCGGTGTGAATGCGGATGTGCCGCGTGTAGTTGCCAGTTTTTTTTTGACCGAGCCCAACCCAAACGACCGAGCCCAACCCAGCGACCGAGCCCAACCCAAACGACCGAGCCTAACCCATCGACCGAGCCCAACGACCAGCTAACTCTCTGCTCTCCGGCCCCTATAAGAATTGGGAATGAGTTCCCCTCTCAGATCCAGATGCGACATCGGCTGAGGTGAACGGGTTCTTCACTTTGGTACCGAACCGGAGGGGGGGGTTGTAATGTCCCCCCCCCTTGCTGAGTGAACAGGGTAGCGGGGTCATTCAGGAATGGGGAAGGACAGATATTGCTTTCCATATAACCTGTGTGTGTGGCCCTGATGAAGGGCCGGTGTGGCCCCGGAATGCGTTGGGTAAGACATAATGAAGTGAATGAGGCCCCCAGGTTCTGTCCGGTGAAGGTGGGTGGCCCCCCGGTTCTGTCCGGTGAAGGTGGTGCAGTGGGGGAAGGGTGTAGTATAGGATGGGACAGCAGCGAGCGGCGGGGCCCCTTACCTCGCACACATGCGTAGTGGAGCTGTACTGTCTGGACTCGGTCCGGTCGGCGTAATTGGCGGCGCGCCGCGGCGTGCCGGGATCCTCTTGATCGGTATTATTGTTGGCGGATTGGTTCTCGTCCTCGCCCTCCCCGTCCTCCATCCCGGCCTCGTTGATGGTTATTCCGGACTCCGGGCTGCTCTGGCGAGGGGACATGCTCGTCTCCGGGCCGGTGTGCTCTGCCGCAGGCTCCGCCGGAAGCTTCTCTTGCCCCTGCGGGGTTTCCTGCTCTTTGGTTTGTGATTTGCGCGCGGTCGTGCCGTCGCTCTTCCCCTGGACAGACGAAGGCCACGCCTCCTGCGCCATCACATCGCCAATTGCCTGTCTGTTATCCCCTCCTAGAACAGAGTAATAAATCTGAGTTACGGGGGCGGGGCTTCACCTCCAGGGGGCGGGGCTTCACCTCCCAGGAGGGCAGAAGTCATTCCACACACATGACACGCCTCCTAGTCATGTACACGGATCAGGATCTAGGTCAGGGGTAGCCAAACTCCGGCCCCCCAGCTGTGGTGAAACTACAAATCCCATGATGCATCTCTCTCCGGGAGTCGTGTCTGTGAGAATCTTGCAAAGCCTCATGGGATTTGTAGTTCCACCACACAGCCGGAGGGGCGGAGCTTGGCTACCCCTGGTGTAGATGAATGACTTGGTAACAAACTCACCCCCTGCTGCAGACACCGCCCCCTCCTCCTGCGGCACATGGGCCCCTTGCTCTTCCCGGGTGCCCTGACTGCCTCCTGCACACAGCGGAGAGAGACAACAGACATCAGACTGGAAGCCGGAGCAACGTGTCCAATCACATCTAAGATATTCAGCAGGCCTTTCACAGTGCCTCTGAGCAGATCTAAAGTCTCTTGTCACATGCGACCTCCGAGAACCAATGAGGGCTCAGTTTTGGGGGTCATTTAAAAAGCGTTCAGCGGTGTCATAGATAACACGCAGACTTCCTGTGACTGCGGAAGGTGTGGAATATGTACGTCCCTGAGAGTAGTGTGGGAAAAGTACGTCCCTCGGAGGGGTGCGGAAAAAGTACGTCCCTGGGAGGGGTGCGGAAAAAGTACGTCCCTGGGAGGGGTGAGGAAAAAGTACGTCCCTCGGAGGGGTGAGGAAAAAGTACGTCCCTCGGAGGGGTGCGGAAAAAGTACGTCCCTGGGAGGGGTGCGGAAAAAGTACGTCCCTGGGAGGGGTGCGGAAAAAGTACGTCCCTGGGAGGGGTGCGGAAAAAGTACGTCCCTGGGAGGGGTGCGGAAAAAGTACGTCCCTGGGAGGGGTGCGGAAAAAGTACGTCCCTGGGAGGGGTGCGGAAAAAGTACGTCCCTGGGAGGGGTGCGGAAAAAGTACGTCCCTGGGAGGGGTGCGGAAAAAGTACGTCCCTGGGAGGGGTGCGGAAAAAGTACGTCCCTGGGAGGGGTGCGGAAAAAGTACGTCCCTGGGAGGGGTGCGGAAAAAGTACGTCCCTGGGAGGGGTGCGGAAAAAGTACGTCCCTGGGAGGGGTGCGGAAAAAGTACGTCCCTGGGAGGGGTGCGGAAAAAGTACGTCCCTGGGAGGGGTGCGGAAAAAGTACGTCCCTGGGAGGGGTGCGGAAAAAGTACGTCCCTGGGAGGGGTGCGGAAAAAGTACGTCCCTGGGAGGGGTGCGGAAAAAGTACGTCCCTGGGAGGGGTGCGGAAAAAGTACGTCCCTCGGAGGGGTGCGGAAAAAGTACGTCCCTGGGAGGGGTGCGGAAAAAGTACGTCCCTGGGAGGGGTGCGGAAAAAGTACGTCCCTGGGAGGGGTGAGGAAAAAGTACGTCCCTCGGAGGGGTGAGGAAAAAGTACGTCCCTCGGAGGGGTGCGGAAAAAGTACGTCCCTGGGAGGGGTGCGGAAAAAGTACGTCCCTGGGAGGGGTGCGGAAAAAGTACGTCCCTGGGAGGGGTGCGGAAAAAGTACGTCCCTGGGAGGGGTGCGGAAAAAGTACGTCCCTGGGAGGGGTGCGGAAAAAGTACGTCCCTGGGAGGGGTGCGGAAAAAGTACGTCCCTGGGAGGGGTGCGGAAAAAGTACGTCCCTGGGAGGGGTGCGGAAAAAGTACGTCCCTCGGAGGGGTGCGGAAAAAGTGCGTCCCTCGGAGGGGTGCGAAAAAAGTACGTCCCTCGGAGGGGTGCGGAAAAAGTACGTGACTGGGAGGGGTGCGGAAAAAGTACGTCCCTCTGAGGGGTGCGGAAAAAGTACGTCCCTCTGAGGGGTGTGGGAAATGCTACTCCCATCGTCCGCTCTCCGGACCCGCCCACCGCTGAGGGTCTGAGAAGATAGCAGCAGCTCCAGAGGATGTCAGATGTACATTGCCCAGCACTGTATACACTGATACTGCGGGCCCTCATGTGCTGTGTGGTCCCAACACTGGGACCACTGAGAGTGAGCTCACCTTAGAGGAACATGGAGTCCAGAACACCCTCCGTGTGTGCGACAGACAATGCTGAGCCCCCGCTGGGGTGGATCACTCACCTTCTTCACTGACTCCATCACCCTCCACGTACACAGACTGCCCGGCACCGCTGGACTCCATGACAGTGTCGCTGCCCAGAGCAGGAGCGGGGTACTCGCCCTCCGGCTGGGTGACTTCTGCTGGACAAACAGACGACATGTTACATGTGGACCGGACCCAGCGCTGCCCCGACCGGGCAATAACCCCCGCCACTACTATCTGTCCCACGACTGGGGTGATGGGCCCCTCACACACACAGGGGCCCCATCATTGTGGGTAGAGGAAGAGCCAGTACTGCACCTTGTGGAGAGGAGAGCGCCTCCAGGCTGTGGGTCGCCGGTACTGCGCCGATACTCAGAGATTTCAGGGCCGTGCATGCGTTCACTATCTCCTGCATCTGCAGGAAGCCGGCCACGGCCAGGACGTCCTCCACGTTCTCCCGCGTCAGGTTCAGTCTCGCCGTGTACATGAACTCCAGAACCTGACCCAGTCCTGACAAAGACAGAGGGCGAGCGTCAGTGGCGACCACACGCAGACACGCGCCAACGCGGGCGACCACACGCAGACACGGCAAAGCGTGGGGTGCTGCAGGGACTATGGCGGCGGGGACAGTGGGGGGAGAGGGAAGGCGGG